AGATCTGAGCCTGGGGCCCTGGAGAGCGGGCTAGAAGGCTGGGGGGGGGCGGGGGGGGAGCTGATGCTCTCAGCCAGGAGCCCCTGGGCAGGGCTGCAGAAGGGGGTCAGGATTCACAGGACGTCCGTGCTGAGTCAGCCCATCTCAGGTTTCAGGGCCGGGGGGGGGGTGGGGGGAGCTAAGAGAAAGAACGGGAGCTCCGGTTTAAGGGGGAAGCAGCAGGGCTGGAGGGTGCCCTTAAAAACCAGGGTATAGTACAAAAGAAGATACGATTAGTAAACCGGAATCTCCTCCAGATGGAATCTAACTGAATCTCTTCTTCCTCCCCCATGTCAGACGGGGCTGACAAGGAGTAGACAAGGTAGGTGTCAAAACTCAGCAGCGCTTAGAGCTTTGTCAAAGAAGCAGAAAGCACGAACCCATCGGGTGGCGGGAATGCCCACCGTCGTGGGTCATTTGCCCAAAGATGACAAAGATGTTGGCCACGTGCGTGCCTCTGTTCTCAGTGAGGTCGGAATCTTGTCTTCCCTATTCTGGAGCTTCTCACTAATACAAATACTCGGCAATCAGCTGACTTCCAGTCCAGTGCAGGCATTCGAGTCTTTCTTTTTAAGAGACCCACAGACGGGTGATACTCCCATGCACAGGACGCTTCCTCAGGCCGTCTCAGATTTTCACAAAACACACAGAATGTAAGCCCGCTCATCATCCCTTTTCTCCATGCACCATATTCTTGGCCTCCTATTGCAGACTCCCTTTAGGCCGCACGGGCGAGCCGTATGTCCCCTCTGTTCTTGCAATTCACAAAAGCATTTGGGAAGGCAAGGGACCCCGAGGAAGGGCGTCACCAGAACAATATTGAATTTATTGTGTGTGTGTGTTTTTTGCAACCACACACTTTGAAACCACACATTTCAATATTTTGGCTCTCAACTGCTCTGGACATATTGATGTGTTCTGCTAGCTCGGTTGAGAGCCCCTGGTCTGGATGAGTCCCGCCACCTCTCAGACCAAAGGCCCTGGGTGCAGGGAGGACAGCTCGGAATTACGGGATGGAACCCACAAATCCATGTGTACACCAAGCATCAGAGCACTCTAAATTAATAGCTTGCCTTGAATCTACACTACTACCCTTCAAATATACACAGGTGTGTAGGAATTAATAAAATACACATTTTTTAAAAAATTCCTGAATTCATACTAGCTCTTTATCATGTGTTTTCTCAGCCAAGAACTATCAAAAGTACAATCTTCACATGCTTCGCAGTGGGGATAACAGAGATGAAAGAATCAAGGTTTCACCCTGGCCAGTGTGGCTCGGCTGGTTGGAGCATCATCCCATGCACCAAAAGGCTGCAGGTTTGATTCCCGGTCAGGGCACATACCTGGGTTGCCTGGGTTGTGGGTTTAATCCCCAGTCAGGGCACATATGGGAAGCAATAGATATGTGCTTCTCTCTCACATTAGTGTCTCTCTCTCTCTCCCCCTTTCTCTCTCTAAAATCAATATAAAGCATGAAAAAAAATCAAGGTTCCAATTACATACAAAAGTTCATCTTTTCAGGCAAAACAGTGGACAAAGGCCGGCAGCAGAAAGTTAGACCGAGGTCACTGCACCAGCAGCATGGAACTCCCCAGTTGCTAGTCGGAAAACATAGATGTGGGTCCTCAATGAGGCCTCCGAGTGAGTTCAACTGAGTGTGAGAGTCACAATCACCGGTTCAGATGGCACCGGAAAGGGTGGTGGTGAGACATCGCAAAGTGTCCTCTGAGGGCTTCACTGAGAAATACACTGGTTTGATGGCAGGACCACGCCCACATGGCCCACCTCTAGGGACCCGTGCCCGCCCCGTCCACAGCGTAGGCACCGCTGGTCTCCGGCGTGTGCTCCAGCCAGGGTTCAGAAGGAGCATGGGATTCCCCGCATAGTCCGTCTTCTTGTTGTTTTCCAGACGTCCCCAGAGGGCTCGCAGACTGGGAAACAGGAAGATGACGGCCTTTGCCAAAGGGCTTCCAATGAGATAATGAAATTATTCTGTTTACAGCGTTTACAGAGATCTGAAAATACCACTACTCTTTCTCACGGAGGGACCATGGGAGGCTCTCTCTGATAAAGACAGATTTAAAGAGTAATTTCTTGGCAATAGCTTCAGATTAGAAAGAGATAACGCGCTGATCAAAAATAGAATGCATGCCCAGTCTCTTCAAGATGCTATGACAGTATCTAGGAGCAAAAATCCTTTTCTACAGGAATTTTAAAAACAAACACACAAAGACAAAAACCCCAAACACAAGGACTTTTGAGAATTTTTTAAGAGCCCCTAGAAACTCCGAATTTAAATACAGTTATCACTATGCCCCAGGAGGAGAAAGTAGAATCAGCAGTTGTCTAGCAACAGGAATCAGTGTGCTCAAAGCCCCGGGAGTCCCGGCTCAGGGACACAGACAAGAGGGCAGTTTGGCCGACAGCTGCGCAGCTCATGGTCCTGGATGGCGCAGAACCTGATGTCAGAACCCGAAGCCAGGCACGGACTTGCCTTTCAGTCCCAGCTTTGCCCCTGAGCAGTCCGAGTGGCCTTGGGCAAGAGACCTGACTCTCCCAGGCACGGTTTTCTCTTCTGCAAAGTGGGACTACTGATACCGGCCGTCCGTCCTCACCCCCTCTCAGGCAGCCGCGAGGACTCCTGCAGCAAATGCCCGTGAGCGCTCGAGCGGACCGCGGCAGAGTCGGCACCGACGCACGTCAACCCGGATTGTTATTATAGTTCTGCTTTTCTTTTAAATCAAGAATTTTCTCTTAACGCCAAGAAATTCAGGACATTCATAAAGAGCTCCTGTCGGGGCGGGGGGGTTGTCCAGGAGTGTTACACGTGTGGACCTCCGTTCTGCACACACTTGGAGCCTACCGTCTGACAGTCAACCTTCCGGGGCTCTCTCCTGCTCCCCGCCCCCACAGCAGGGCTTGGCACCCAGCCCGCGAGCGGGAACAGAGAATGTGCGTGCACAGGCCGCCTCGGGCTCTTCTCCTTCCCCTTCTCCTAACAGTGACAAGTACCCTTAGACTAACAATCAGTGCTCCCGGAAGTGAACACTTCAAATGCCTTTTCCCATTTGACCCTTGACGACGCCACAGGAACAAGCATGTGCGGGGTGGGTGCTGAGAACACCTTGCGGAGCACGGTAACCTCGGGGCGCTTCACGGGCCCGCTGACTCGGTCATGATGAGAACACTGAGCAGGGTCTGCTTAGCTCCAGAACGGAAGGTACCCACCGCACCCCGTCTTCTGACCCCAAAGTGCTGTTCTCAGGGCTCCTGTGGTCACGGGTTCTTCAGGAGAGGAGGCTGTCCCACGGGGGGGCAGAGCGAACCCCTCCCTTCCAGGTGTTTCCCACATGGGCTGACCACGACCCACAGTGAGAAATGTGTATTAGACTGCAACTCAGATAGATTTATGTCTCAGAGATTTTTATGCATATGTTCGCGTCAGGCCTCCTGAAGCTCCCTCCTTCTATTTCACGCTTTCGTGTAAAGTGAGAGTGTGGAGAATCGGAGGCTTTATGTACGTCCCTGATGTGAATGTGCAATGGCCCAGTCTCTGGAAAGCAGTGTGACGTTTCCTCAAACTCTCAAACACAGACTTATGAAATGATCTGGATAGTCTACCGCTAAGTACATCCAAGAGAAATGAAAACATCCATCCATGCAAAACGTGAACATCAGTTACTCATAGCGGCGTTATTTACAGTGGCCAAAAGGCAGATCTAAACCAAATGTCCACCAACCGAGGAATGAATAAACAAACCGGGGTACATATTCATACAATGGAATGTTAGTCAGCCACAGAAAGGCATGGAGTAGGACCCGTGCTACAAAGTGGGGGACACTTGAGACCCTTATGCCAAGTGAAAGAAGCCAGATGCAGACACCATGCATCGTATGCGCTCACACAGATCAACGGTCCAGCGTAGGCAAGTCTATGGGGATAGAGAGTAAATCAGTACTTGCTACTGGGAGGAAGGTGGGGGAATGAGGAGTGGGTTTGGAGTCTCTTTTCAGGGTGATGAAAATGGTCTAAAACCTGACTGTGGTGATGGTTGTAAAACTGAATACCTATAAAAGCGAATTGTACACTTTAAATGAATAATTTATTAGTATGTGAATTATACCTCAATAAAGTTGTTTAAAAATGATGGTTGCGATCAATAAACTGATTTCATCATCGCAATGGGTCACAATGCAGTTAAATGATGTGCCCAGAGCATGCTTCCCAGCCCCCGCCCCCTGCCCCAGCCTGTCCTCTCCGTGAGAATCGCCCCTTGACCCGGATGGTGGGGAAGACTACAGCCTTCAGGGGGCAGATGGACAGACAGATGGAGGGGTGAGTGTGTGGAAGGAGGGGTGAACGCCTCTTGCAGGATCTGCATCGCCCCGCTCAGTTCGGGAACCGAGACTGCACCCGCAGAGCCCATGCCCCGCTGCAGACCGCGTCCCTGCCTCCCAGCTGCGCTGGCCGCGAGACCGGAGCTGTGGGGAGCTTTCTGGGGAGCTCTGCAGGGACCTGACTCAGGGGTGTGGCTGCCCCCTTTGCCCCCCCCCCCCCCCCTGCCGCCCTCTCCTTCCTGCCTCAGATTCGAACACGATGGCTCAGTCTCCAGAAGCCGCCTGTGACCGTGGCGGGGGTGGGGTGGGGGGGGGCCAAGGCTCACAAAGCAAAGCACAGGAGACTGGGTCCGAGGCCTTCCTGAGGCCTCCTGGGCTGCCCACCCCGGACCTTCTTAACGTGACTGAGCAAATCTCCGATCTGCTTACACCACGAGGCTGTCTCTGGTACCAGCAGTCACGGGGGTCTCTAAATGATGTGGCGTCTAACTGAATCAAAGCTCCCCTCGGTGTCCGTGAGCCGAGGACAAACCCATCTGGAAAAGCAGCTGGTCCCCCACCCAGGCCTCCCTGCCTTCTGGAAGCACCTCTCCCCGAGCCCCGCGTCTGAAGGGAAATACCTGGTGATTTTAAATATCCGCAGGAGCCGAACGCATCTCAGCACAGAGATGCCCAGGGGCGACATGACCTTGGTCTCCACCAGGATGGTCTCCAGGATGCCCCCGCACACGATGAAGCAGTCGAAGCGGTTGAACAGGGACACGAAGTAGGCCTGCAGGCCCAGGCTGTACATCTTCAGCAGCATCTCCGCCGTGAAAAGGGCCAGGAGGGCCTTGTTGGCCGTGTCTGGCAGGTTCACGAGTGGGGTCGGATCCAAGCAGGTGTGAGAGGAGGGAAAACGGGGAGGAGGAGAAAGGAAACACAGTAATTATCACCACTGAAAAAAAACCGAACTCTCCCTTCCCAGCCAGGACACCTCTCCCATCCACTGCTGTCAAAACAGAACAATTCGGGCCAGACTGACGGGAAAGGGGCATCTCGTTGTACGCACGACAAATATTTATCAGGTACAGCAGTCTCCCCTTAGCCGCAGGAGATACAATAAGACCCCCAGGGAGGCCTGGAACCACGGCTCGCGCTGAACTCTCTATACACTGTCTTTTCTTGCACATACGTGTCCTAATAGTGCGAGATTTCACCATACCCTAGCACAGGGTGCACTACTAAAACTTACGAACTGTTTACTTCTGGAATTTTCCATTAACATTTCAGACCACGACTGACCAGAGGTAACTGAAACCGCGGACGTGAGCCTGAGAAGAAGGGGTGACTGTATCTACTCCAAAGGCTTTGCGTGCCCTCATCTTCGCTCTTCACGGCAGCTCTGGGAGGTGGGTACGATTGTCATCAAGCCCATTTTTCAGACACAGAAGTGAGGTTCCGAGAGAAAAGTAATCCCCGAAACCAATAAGCCAAGAGGTGAAGCCGGACGTCCGAGTCCGGAAAGCAGCCCGGGCCCGCCGGGCTCCTGGGGGTGGCACCGAGGCACTGGCTAGTGAGGTCCTCTCCGGGGCCCAGGGAAGGGATGGACGCTAACCACCCACCGAGGCAGCTCCCTGTGCCCGGCCACTACTGGCCTCTCCCCTGCCTTTCTGCTCACCTCACCGTCACCCGTCTGGCCAGCCCAGCTGGACCTCGCCATGTACACCTGGAAGCAACAGTAAAGCCGAGGGCCTGAAAATCCCTTCTGGGCAGCTGGCAGCCAAGAGTCTGAGGCAGCCAAGCAAGGTACACCACGTGTCCTTGTCACCGGACCCAACAGCGCCTGCTGCGGCAGGCAGATGGTGTAGACCCAGCCAGGGAGCCACGCCTGTTCACCACGAGGCTGTACATTTTAGTGGGGAGTGTCCGAGCTGCCAGGCCCGTGGTGTCCCCAGCATGGCACCGGCCAGGAGCCCTGGCCACTGGCTGCTCTCCCATCCACCTGCTGCCGGTGGCCGTGCCCTCCCTGGGGCTCAGGGCTGAGGTGGCCAGAGTAGACCAGGGCGGTGCCAGGGGCTGCCACTCACCTTGCACTTCTGTGAGCCAGTGGGGCTGGTTGTAATGCTCCGAGGCGATGGTGAGCGTGTTGAGAAACACCAGGAAAATCACCAGCCAGTAGAAGATGTTGGACTTGACTGCCGCGCGACACTTCCTTCTGCAGAACCGATTCCACCGGCGCCAGTAGCGACTGGAGAGGGGCGGGCAAGGGGAGAAGGCAGCTATGAAATTCAGATTTCCTTCCGCCGAAAGGCCTCTCAGTGGCTCCTCTGACCTCGTCACAGGCCTGGCCTCCCTAGAGCAGTGCAACCTGGTGCTGCCTCTTAGCTCTGTGGCCTTGGGTATGTCCCTCCTCCATCCTCGGCTTCGGCTGTCTCACCGGTGAGACAGAACAGGGCCAACCCCGCAGGACTTGGTGGGAATTGATGGCTGCCGCCTAATGCGTCTAGCATGAAGCCAAAGGTGGTCAGCCATGGAAATCTTTTACTGGATCATAATGCATTACTAGGAACAGTACTGCAAGCAGGAGTATCACTGGCAGCGATGGTGGTATTAGTGCTCCAGTGGTCACCATCACACACCTCACATGTGCTCGGTGCCAAATCAGACACTTGCGATGGCTCCTCACTCGTCCTCTCAATAGCGCTGAGAAGCAGGCGTTGCCCCGTCTGAGGAGCAGCGAGCGAGGGCCGGCGGCTGAGTCCCGGCCCACCATCACACTGGCAGTGCCACACACCACCTCTCCGTGCAGGGGCGCAGCACCGCCCCCTTGCAGCCCAGCCTGGTCCAGAGGGTGCGCCCACGCCTCTTGCTTTGGGACATTTGTCAGTGATTCTCAACCCTGGCTGTGCAGAGAGTTACCTGGGAAAGCTAAAAAGATACCCGAGAAGCCCCACCTGTACCCAGGTCTTAAGCCTAAACCAATTCAATCTGATTTTGGGGGGGGGGGGCTGGGTCCTTTCTAAATATATTTTTAAAAATATCATTGGTGTTTTTTTAAAGTTCTCCGATTACACTACTGTGTAACCACAACTGAGAACCAGTAAACTGGATGATCCCAAGAGAAGAGTCACATTTTATAATTCCACGGCGGAGGGGTTTACAGCTTACCCCTAATTCATCATCACGGTGCAGAGAACGCAGAGAGCTCTATTTGGCGACTGTTGTCCAAACATGTAACATGTGCCTGCCCTGTGCAAAGGAGGGGAGGGGGGGTGCCGGAGCAGGGCCTGGGAGGGAGAGGCCGAGGGCCGAGGGGAGAAGGACGGCATGAGCTTGGACTTGAAAACCAAACAGCCAACAGAAACCACCACTCTGTCAACTGCACACGGAACAGCGCGCAGAACACTCTCTGCGCGGGTTGAAGGAAGAAAGCCGTCGCTTTATCATGGAAAAGAGGACACTGAGCTGGCACCGATCTCGAAGGCAAAGTCATCGGTCTTTGCGCCTGACTGGATGTGCAGGGTCACAGAGAAAGGAGTGGAAGGGGCAGCCCCAACTTCTGGCTGAGGCCAGTGGGGAGAGGGCCATGGGTCAGCCCACACAGCAGAGATGGGGAGAGGCCGTGCTCGGGGCAGGCAGGTGGCTCTGAGGAGAAGGTGGGGCGCTCAGCTCAGGAAATACATCTGAGGGCTGGGGGTCACGTGGGGAGAGACCCAACAGGCCGTGGGAGACGGGGAGATATAAAGGCGGTTTGGGTAATAAAGGAGGCGGGGGAGGGGGAGGGAACAGCAGAATCGCGGAGCAATTGTCCACGGACACCTGTGCTCACATCTGTGTTCTAGGTTTCCATGGGGGAGACACGGCCGTTTATGATCCCTCCACCCATCCCAAATTGCTTCTACCTACTGTCCATGGAAAATCCTATTCCCACCCCTTCGTTAACATCTACACCGAGACCAGAAGGACGAGGAGAACATCCCCGAAGGGTGTGGTTCCCCCGGAACTGCGGGGAGCACCTCACCTAGGGCTGGCTGAGCGAGAGAAGGAGGGGTTCACTGGGCAGTGTTCTGATCGGGCCCCCACATCATCGGGTGTTGGGATGCCCTCTCCAGTGAGCATCAGACCTTGTGGGGGACACACACCTGCCACCTGGGAGGAGGTCACTACACAGGAAGAAATGCCTCGGGTCAGAGGGTTACAGTCTCCAAACGCTGTGCGTGGGAGGGAGGTTTGTGCCCCACACATGCTCCCTGGGTGGGCGTGAGGATGGGGGGCAGGGGCAGCAGTCCCAGGTGGCGGGGCCTTGGTGGGCCGCGGTGTTTGGAGGGGCCAGACCTCGGTGCTGAGGAGTCTTTCTCACCTGGGCCGGACTCTGCGTCTATCCTGTTACTGTGCTTATTCATATTGTAGAGAACTTTGGTTACACAACTTTTTTTTCCTCTGAAAGACGAATTTTCAGGACAAACTCATATCTGACCTTAAATAGCTTACATTGTAGTTTCAAAAAGTGTTTTAAATAGATATAATGTCACATTACAGAGATCACTGACACTTGGTATTCGGAGTCCAAAGGACTCAGTTTGCTTTGTTTTTTTGGAACGTAGGAGCCGATTTAACGCCGAGAACTTAGGTTAAGTTCCTCTTTCCCAAGGTTGGGGGTCGGGGCCGGGGGTGTGAAGGGTCAGGCCTGTCTGAACCCGAGTGGCTGTCATGCAGGGTGCTGCTCCTGTGCACAGCCATGTAGGGGAGTCACGTGGACTAGAGCCGGGGTGCGGGTGGGGGTAATTACTACCCCGAGAAAGTATTTAAAGATAATTATACACCTCCCACTCTTCAAAATATAGCTTTGCTTGACAACTGGTTTCCCGGCAACGCTTCCTACTGTATAATAAATGTAATTTTTTTATTAGAACGTGTGAATTTATTTGTGTTTACATATGCACGGAGGATATAGAAATTAAATGATAAAACAGGGAGGAGAAATGTGCCCGCTGTTTACGTTCCCTTCGCACTAACGGAAAAGCCATCTACTCCAGAAATAGAACTTCCCTATGTCGACGTAGAAGGATGGATATAAGTGTGTCCAGCCCACTTCTTCTCCATCACTGCATTCCCATAGGAAACTTCGCCTCACTCGGCTGAGATCCTCCTTACTCTTCCCAACTCTGGGCCCTGCTCTTGCCTTCCCCCTGCATGGACCGTCCCAGCTCTCGGAACCGCCCCGTCTATGTCCTGTGCACCCCAGCTTCTCCACGGTGCCCTTCCTAGTCTTCCCAGACTCAGAGCCCATCAGACTCATTGTCGACATTATTCGTCTTGGTTATAGAGTCAGGAAATACGTGCTAAACACCTGCCATCGGCCAGGTGCATGATATTCAACAGTTCGCATGAGGGACCCAGCCTGGCTGCGTGATGCCCTACCACGGAGCGTGCTCAGAGCCCAGGTGGGTCAGCAGAGCTCGTCCAAGGGTGTCCCAGCGGTCATGGCAGAGCCAAGAACTTCCCCAGAGGAATGGCTTCCCAGCTGGCTTGTACTGTATGGCTCTGCAGTGAGAGCACAGGTCCCGGAGGGGAAGGGACGGTCCTGCCCTTTGTTCCAGACCCGCGGTACAGTGCTGTCCCCGTCACACGGCCAGGACACCTGCTGACAGGTGGCGGGGCTGTGGAGGTGCGCTCCCTGCACATGTCCTGCCTCCTTGCTGGAGACAAGTTCTGTGAGCGCCAGGCCTCCTGTGACCCAGGGGTGAGGGTGGGTGGGAAAGGGCAGGGCTCCGGAAGGAGTTGGCTTGGCACGTATTCTAGACAGTCACCTGGAATAGCAGACAACGTCAACATGGTGGACACTTCACACTCTTCTAGTGACTACAGAACTGAGAACAAGCAACACGGGAAATCACTACATTTAATTATTTTATACACAAGTAACTTAAAAACGGACTGTTAGAGATTGGGGCAAATCTGGGTGCCTCGTTGCTTATGGGATAGCAGGAATAACGGGAGCATCGGAAGCACATTTCACTGAATACGGGGCAAGAGAGTCCTCCAAACGTCTAGGACGCTGTGGGATCCACTGAGAACTCTGCAAAAGTGAGATCTGGAAGCTGCAACAGGTAATCTGCTGAATCCTTCCAGTTGCATAAGACTTTCTGAATCATTTAGTCCATAACTGCTAAATCCCATTCTAAACGGTGAGCCCCAAAGGTTGCAAAATTCCTTACTGCAACTAACTCCTAACTGCAGCTAATTCCTAATTTTATAAGTAATTATTTTGCAGAATTTCCCCTAAAAGTTCTGTTCTAATATTTCTTTTAAATAGACCATAACTTTGTATCCTTCAGTTTTGCATCAGGAATGCGTTGATCTTTTTAAAACTCAGATTTTAGATTTTTTTTTTTGGTAAAACAGGCACTTCACTGTTTACCATGTTATTTCTGAATTGCAAAAAATTCTCTCCATTTCCCCCTGCATTACCTTGCTTTTCTTCTGCATTCCCCATGCAATCAACAGGAGCAGGTGCGGGAACACATTTTTCTTGCGTCTATAGTAGAAACCTTAGCAGCTCACCGAAACGGCTCCAGGTCAACTTGATCATTTTACTGGCATTTTCAATCCACTGCCAGACTTTGATATTTCCTACACAGACACCATCAGTGGGCCAAAGGCTCTGGACTGAAGGCTGCCAGAGGCTCTCTGCTCAGTCCCTTTATGGCCACACTGTCTGCGGCAGTAACCACCAGCCACATGTGGCCTCTGGGCACTTGAAACGCGGCCAGTCCAAATGAGACATGAAGTATGTGTGAAATACACACTGGGTTTCAAAGACTCAGTATCAAAAAGCAAATGTAAAATATCTCAATCATTTTAATGTAAATTATAAGTTGAAGTGGTAATGCTTTAGAAATATTGGGTTAATTATACGAAGGTTAATTTCACCTGTGTCTGTTTACTTTGTAACGTGGCTACTAGAAACTTTTAACAAGCGCACATGTGGCTTGCGCTGTATTTCTATGCATGGCACTGTTATGGAGCTACCCACCCCCAGTCCAGGCTGCGATAGCGGAGCAGAGACAGTGCGGAGTGTTCCCGGGCAGCACCTTATCACCAGGAGGGCACAGGAGTTAGCAGCATGGGTCCTGAGTGCAGGCTCTGACTTGGCCACATAGGAGCCATGTGGCCCCAGACCTCTCTCAGCCTCGGTAGCTGAAAACGCATTCAATGATAGTGCCAACCTACTAGTGATAAGTCTTTCAGGAATACAAAGTCTTCTCTCTGCATTTCCCTTGTATCTTCAACAGTCGCTACAGAGGGGAAAACCCTTCCCAGAGGTCACACCGCTGGTATACAGGAGGTTAAGTATACAACAGGCCCAGCCACGTGTCCAAGCTGAGCAGGGAGCCAACAGTGTAGGGGCCGCTGTTCCTTTCCTCTTTTTCAAAAGCACAGGTTGCAGCACAGATCACTGGATAAGAAATGTTCCCAGAGTCTCCCGAGCCATCGCTCACGAGGCCGGGTCCATGCAAATATGTCCATTCCCTCCCATCCTCCAGAGCACGCTGATCCACTCATTCACTCACTCAGTTGTTCATTTATGGCTCACTCATTTGTGTGTGATGAGAATATTTTAAAATGTATTTTTATCCCTTCACTCTTTTTTTAAAAATATGTTTTAATTGACTTTTTAGAGAGAGAGAGGAAGGGAGAGAGAGATAGAAACATCGATGTGAGAGAGAAACATTGATCGGCTGCCTCCTGCATGCCCCACACTGGGGATTTAGCCTGCATGTGCCCTGACTGGGGATTGAACCAGGACCCCTCAGTCCATGGGATCGTGCTCAGTCCACTGAGACACACCAGCTGGGCTGTCCCTTTACTCTTACCGTATGTGTGGAGACTTTGGAATTATCAGAAGCACAAAATGCTTCTCAGCTTTGCTGTCAAATTAGATATTTTGGTTGAGTATGTGTCAAGCTTATATTGTCTTATTGAAGCAAAACTGTTCATTCATTCATTCATTCATTTACTCAGCAAATACAGGAGTGGGCAAAAGTAGGTTTGCAGTTGTGAGTCTGTGAAATACAGTTTATTCTTATATTACTCATTAATTATTGCATTATTTTCCTGTTATTTATTAATGATTGTATTATTTTCCATATGAACCACTGTAAACCCACTTTTGCCCACCCCTGTATGTATTCAGGCCCTGTTATGTACCAGACATATCTCCAGATACTGGAGATAAAGCAGCAAAATCCAGGCATTATTACTTGAGAGAAAGGACCTCTATCTCATCTCTAGAGCTCTGTTTCCTGTAGTGAGAGTGAGGCCTGGTAACTTGGCCCTCTACTTCTTAGGTAAAAGACATCTGGAGAGAAGGAGGAAGGGGAAAGCCTACATTTTCCGGTTCCAGTGGGGTATGGGAGAAAGAAGGTGTCAGCGTAGAGGAGAGAGTCAGACACCATGGTCCTGGGTGTCCAGCCTCAGGAGCTTAGAGAAGGTGGTTGTAGAAACACAGAGACGACCTGGGCAAGGCCAGGCACCGTGGGGCTCGTTGGCGGCCTCCACTGGGCGCTGCCCCCGGGAGAACGTCTGCCTTTGGCTCGAGCTCTGTCCGGCTGGTGCAGGGACAGTGGTGGGAGGCAGGCAGGCGGGTGAGCCTGCCTAGTGACCAGGTTCCCCATCGTTGTTCCTGGAGTGCGAGGGACCTGGCAGGGTCTGCGCACTCCCGTGAAGTGTGGAGGTGCTAACAGGGACCAACAGAGCTTGGGACGGAGATTTCAAGATGAGATGCAAATACGGGGGGGCATGGATTCCACTGGTGGAGGCCCGAACCTGCGGCACCCCCAGCCGGAACCAGTGCAGAGCAGCATGGACCAGACGCCGCACAGAGAGAGCAGAGGACCCGGCCTTCCAGGACCAGGCCCCATCGAGCCCTGTGACTTCCCAGACCTGAAGGCCCTGCCCCAGCATCCAGACTGGACAGGAGGCTGGAGAGGAGCTGACATTTCTACCTTAAGGGACTATTTAAAATACAGCACTGGGCCCTGGCTGGTTTGGCTCAGCAGTTAGAGCGTCGGCTCACGGATTAAAGAGTCGTGGCTTCGATTCTGGTCAGGGGCATGTACCTCAGCTGCGGTTCAGCCCCAGCCCTGGTTGGGGTCAAGTGGGAGGCAGCCAATCCATAGTTTTCTCTCACATCGATGTTTCTCCCGCCCTGCCCCCGCACTCTATATCAAGATAAATAAAAAAGTATCCTCGAGTTAGAATTTAAATAAATACATAAAATAAAATACAGCACCAGGCTACATATTCCCAGCGGGATCAAAATCCAGTGTTATTTATGCTCCTGCTACTTAGTGGGAGAGGCTAGGGAAGCAAAACATAAACCACCAATATTTGTCAGCATGTATAAGCTTCGTGGGAGCAAACTCACACCCCCACTCCACATATCCATCCAGTTGTCCATTCAACACACACGTGCGAACAGCCCGCCACCGGACAGGACTCCGCAACTCTCTGGAGGGAACACCCACGGGGCACGCAGAGCCTGTAGCAAACAGGCTTGCGAGCTGATGACTGGCAGGCAGTGGAGAAAGTGCTGAGTCAGGATTAGGAGCAAAGCACCATGGGAATGGAGGGCGGTGGTAGCGTCCCCTGGGGAGTTTGCAGACATTATAGATGTGGTCACATGGAGATTCCTACCAAAGTCTGAGTTCTCCAAACGAAGACATGGGGACACAGTGACTCTGGTTAGAACATTCCAGAAAGTGCAAGCTCCATGTGGTTGGAACAAAGGATGTGAGCAGGGGAGTGTGGGAAGTGAGACTGGGAAGGCAGAAGGGGGCTGAAGACCACAGTCCCTGTGGAAGGTTCTGGAGCCTAGCAGTGTGGTCATCCTGTGTGCCTTCGGGAATGGTAGCAAGCACCCCATTGTATGTATTTTAACTAGACTTCATCTTATAAGGAAGGGAGACACACTAGGTCTCATAACCTTCTCGGGATGGTGCTGCCGAAGAGACACCGACAAAGGTCATTCAACAAATACCAACCCCTGGACCATTTGTTTGATATAGTCCTCACACCGCTTCTTGGTGGCCATGCACAGGAGAGCAGCTGCCTCTGTGAAGAAGGCCCTCAGTCTGCCACCGCCCGGCCGGGGTCAGGGACAGAGCGGGTGGGCAGCGGAAAGAACCCAGCGCGTCACACTCACCTGAACTTGGACTTGGAGATCCGGTGGCTGAAAGAGAAAAAGGAGACATTAGCCCATGGCACACGCATATCCTTCCCTTTCAAAGACATTCAGCAGTGCCGGAGAAGTCTGATGTCCCCTGTTGACCGTATGTGGACACTGGACGGGTGCGTGGTGTGACTCCGAACAGTTCTGGAGAGAAGGAGCCTATTTGAAAGCACCTTCTGGTGTGTTTGTGCATTTGAATGTGGAGGCTGAGGCCTGGCCCAGTGGACACGGCTCCAAGTCTAGTGCCCCCTGAGGACGGGGAGAGCCCGTGCTCTCCGACGGTCCGCGTGTCTCGCGAGGTCCACGAGGTCAGGCCAGGCGGCGCGTTAGGAACGCTGTGCCTTGTGCGCCGTGCGGGCAGGAGGCCTGCAGACGGCTCCCGGCACCTGGAACCCACAGGCAGAAGCACGTCCGCACAGACGCCTCTGAACAGGAGCCTGGCCAACGCTGGCCCGAGTGAGGAGGAGCAAAAAGAGCCAGCTTGAAACGGAAAGGCCTCTAAGTCCTAGCCTCGGGGCGGCCCACTGAGCCAGGAGAACAGCCGTGGGTCCCCAGAAGCAACCCACCCTGCTGACAGTCACGTGCAGCCCTGGAGACCTGGGGGACCTGGGGCAGGAGCACCGGGCAGGGGTGCTGCTGGCTGACTCCAAGGGCCGCTGTACGGTGGAGGGTCCACTGAAAGGAGAACCTTCAAGGAGGCCCCGAGACTGCCCAGTTCTAGAGGAGCGTCCAGGGGAGGCTGGATGGAGGCGGGCTGGGGGAAGAGGACGGAAGGCAGAGAGAGATGGAGAGAGGGACAGTGCAGGCACTGGGACACAGCCTCGAAGGCAATGTGTCGGAAAGGCTCGGCGTCGAGGGGTCCACACGGGAGAGACCCCAGGTGGACGCGCAGGAAGGCGCAGTGCACCTCGGGGGCGGAGAGGGGTGGCGACAGCGGCAGAGAGGAGACATGCGGAGAGAAAGCAGGAGCGGGCCTGGGGGCGACGGCTGCAAGCCGGTGTCATCTCAGCTCGGCACAAAGCAAGCTCCACTGCACAGCAAGAAAACAACCCCTCTCATTGTTTTTATTTTAAAAAATTAAACCAGAAGATGTGACAGGTGGCAAAGCCATCGAGCATGAGATAATTATATCTCTGGGGCACTGAGAATCTGAGCCAAGTGCCTTTACTGCTTTGAACCGTTAGCTAATAACCTTTTCCCGCCTCCAAAGACTGCCTGCCAGGCTGGAGGGTTTAATCACATGTTAACAAAGCGTGTGGGAGGGGGAGGGGGGGAGCCAGGGCAGCGTTTTATTTAGAGCCACAGTTTAATGGGGAAACAAATGTTTTCCAGGTGCTAATTGGGTGGGGGGAGTCCAGGGTGCTCTGTTCTCCAGCAGGGCCCCGCTGAGCACGGGACCCTTGGGTCTTCCTGAGGCTTGCTTTGGGGCAGTTCACGCTCCTGGATATAAATATAAGCCAATGAGGATGCTCATGATCTCTGGGACCATCTGCAGAGCCCAGCCTGACCCTCAGGCTTCCCAGAAATGTCTCCATGCTCCTCTCTGTGGGGCTGGTCAGTGCAGACCACTGGCCCTTCCCCATTAGGCCCTGTCTCAGTCCAAGTGAGTCCTAAGAAAGGTGGGTTCCTAGAACCTACCACGTGGGGGAACCAACATCTGTGTGTTCATATCTCCCCAGGGAATAACTCGGGCGTGGCACAGGGAAGGACCGGGCCTGAGTTTAAGCATGACCATCAGCGATGGTCCTTACTTGGCATTCTGGCACATTCTGAAGAGGAGGAAACAGAGCAGGACTTTCTCTTCCACTTAGTCACGAGTCCTGATGTATAACCCTGGACACCACACTTGGAAACTGATTTTCAGGGTTGTGGTTGCTGTTCTCAGGAGATTTCAGGCTTTCTGAGTCTGCAACATGCAGCCCTTTTTAGGCACCGTATTACTCCAGTGTCCCTGCTTGGGAAGGGGGAGGGTACTGTTCCAGCACGTGGGCAAGGGAAGACGCCAGCCCTCGGGGCGGGAGTCAACAGCAGGACCCACTTCATGGAAACAGAGGGACCCTCCTTCCCTGCAGCCTTTCACCTCCTGGGAGGTGAGCATGGGCTCAGGGTTTGGAAAGCTGTCGTACTGGTCCTGTGACTGAGCACGCCAGGGAGTGGGGGGGGGGGTGCCCTGTACCACAGCACCCTCCACACCCCGGGCTGCTCCACGTGTGCAAATGCTTCTTCCTACTGAAGAGCGGAGGCCTCCAGCTTCTCCAAGCCCCAGCGGGCCATGCACAGCTTGCTCGGAGGGCTCCTTGGCTCTTTCCATCATTGCATTCCAGTCTACTCGGATAAACCCACCCATCCCGTGTGCTAAGTGGCTTCTTGAAGAGCAGGGAGGTGGAGGAAGCCTTGAACACAGAAGCCATCAGAACAGTTCCACGGGGCCGGACCTAGCGTTCACCCCGTCCGAGAGAGTCTCTCTGCCCAGGCCTCCACGACAACCCTTCCAGGAAACCACGACTCTCCTTGACATGAAGCTTCAAAAATTAGAGAAAAACCCCAAACTATTTTTGTTTCGCTTAGTTCCTCAATTTGCATTTGTCATGATTCGACGCACCTCCAAACTTCTTGGGAGCTATGTATATTTTCAGCGTCTCTCCCCTTCTTAGAGGAATGAGCACCCTACTTGCTGTGTGGGGTAGTCTTTGCTGGGATTGTCCCAGTTCGTCTTCAACAGACCTCAGAGGGCACCGGAGTCCCCACCCAGGCTGACACACCTCTGCCTCGACCTCGACTGTACACCTGCGACGCCCGTGACTGGGGTTACCGCAAGGGTGGCTGCAGAGCGGGCAGCAGCTCCTAGTACCGACGCAGCCCTCGGAGGCACGTGGCTGAGGTCACGGCGGATTCGCACGAGACCTTAGGACTCCTGATGTCAGGTCTCTTCCTCCGTCGTCCAGCCAGTCCCAGAGGTACGGGAACTCCTTCCCGTGCTCACGCAGGGTCTCAAGCTGTCTCTGAGGTCCGCGCCCCTCCCTAAGCAGTTCCTTCCCAGAGCCCGCATTTCCCTGGAGCGTCAGCCCTCCCGTCACGGACTTCCGTGTGCCTTAAAGATCATCCCTGCACTATGACGACAACAAGCCTCGCCTTCCAGGACCCTCTTTTCCTCTCTCCCTTCCATGGCCCTTCCGGGGGAGCGCCCTGCTGTGGCTCATTTCCAGCTCCTCCTCACGGGGACTCTGCTCCCACCTCAGGGTCGGCTCCGGGGCAGAGCCCACGACTCCCCCACACCCACTGCAGCCGGAGCCTCATCTCACCCCCAGCGACTGCCCTGCCCGGGGCTTACAGCGCTGTTCCCGCCCACCCCATTCCTGCTCTTTCCTTGGTGATCCCTCGAGGATGCCAAAGGAACCACACCAGCCAGCTGCACACCCCAGGACTCCTCAGCCTTGTGACAAAGACCGAGGCCACCGGGGGCCTACGGGGCCTGCCCACCTCCAGCCTCCTCTCCTGGCCGCACTGGCTCGCTGGCCCGCCTGCTCTCAGTTCCGCACTCGAGGGCCTGGACACGCGCGGCCGCCTGACAGGGAGCCTCTTCCTTACTCTGCCTCGGCCGTGTCTGCTCAGCCTCCAGGTCTGAGCTAACATTTTCGTTCCTCACAGGAGCTGTGCCTGACCTGCCCGTCGAAGTCACACCCCTCCCTCGGCCACTGACCCCACGCTATGTTGTTACCTTTCCTGCGACACCCCGATGTCTGTGACTTACTGACTTATGAGTGTCACTTTCACACCAGGTTCCGAGCTCGAGTGAGAGGTGTCAGTTTGCTCTCTGCGCCCCCCGTGCCTGCGGTGCGTCCTCATGGCCTAGCTCGGCGCCGGGCACCCCCTGACGGAGTGCACAGTGTCAGCAGTGCCTTGAAATTCCTCCTCCGGAGTTTCCAAGTGCGTGCTGCTGTCTGTCCCCCTGACACCTCCTCACCTGTTCCCTTTACTGGTTCTTCCTTGTCTGCATGTCCCGAGGTTCTGCCTCCATCCCTCTAAGAACAACCCTATTCTGTGACCTCATGGGTAGTTTTTATACCGATCACCGCAAACGTGCAACTCCATCCCTGCCCGGAGCCGGACCTTGGAACCCCACTTCCCGCTGCCTGTGTGACCCCTGTGAGTTCCTGGGGTCGGCCATGCTCCACAAGGCACCTCAGCGCCCTCATCATGGTCTGCCTCCCCCTGATGGCTCCCTCCTCTGCTCCTCTGCCTCCCACCTGCCTCCTCCACCCCAATATCACACTGCAGGTCCTTCCTCTCCGCCGCTACCCTCAGGAGCCATCTCCACCCCAGCTTCTCACTGCACATACATCCCTACCCGGACCTCATCTCCCTACACAAGCAGCCTCTCACGGGTCCTGGCCACACCGCCGCCCGGCCCAGCCCGGGCTCACGCTGTCTCCCCACTAGGCTCCCGGGCCTCTGCTGAGCAGTCTCTCCCCATCACTGTCGTGGGGGTGGGGCGGGGATGGGGAAAGACCGTGATGCATGAAGTACACACTACAGAGCTGGCACCGTGGCCAGGTGTGTTATGTGCACAGCGCAGGCATGTGTATGTGCACGGGGACCGTTTCTGCAGAGCTCCCGGAGCCCGCAGAGGTGCCCTCAAGGCGTGACATAAACAGAGAGACTGCCGGCTTCTCTCTGTGGGGGTTACCCCGGTACCCCCCAGAGCTCAGGCTCTCCCGAAACGGCTCCGCAGGGGCTTCCCGGTGCCCGGTCCCCAGTTCCTCTTGGCCTGTCACTTGGGCCATGCTCAAAAGCTAGAGTTGCGAGGTTCTTAATCCTGTTCTCTGCAACCCCCCTGGGAGTCCAGATCACAGACAGGCCCAGAACCGGCCGACTCTGGAGGCTTGCTCTCCGCCTCTCCCCAGCGTGGCCGACGGGCCCACCTCAGAAACTCAATCGCTTGTTTTGTATGGTTCCAAAAGAAGGCAAGAGGAAAAAAGGCTTGGACTGCTGCTTAAAAATGTAATTAGCACCGTATTTTAACAACATTTTGACAAGAATCGCTTCCCAGCAGCTCGGAGAAACCTGCAGTGCAGACCCCCCGGCGCTGCTGTCAGAGTGAGCGATGCCCGGGCCCGGGGACCGGCACACCGGCTACGGCTACCGGAGCCGATCTGGTCCGAAGCCTTGACTCCCCCTCCACAGGCTCAGGGGCCACGCTCCAGGCTGCCTCGGCTTACGTTTAGACGCAGCTAAGCTCGCACAAAGGGCTGGCTTCCCAGACTGCTGAGTCACTCCAGAGAGGGAGCCTGGGAGAAGATGCCGGTCCATGGAGGGAGCACTTTAAACTCCTCCGCAGACGGCCCGCTCAGAGCCTCCTCTGGGAAGGGCAGTGTCGGCATGAGTTCCAGTTCCTGCACCTCCAGGGCAACAGCAAAAGCAGTTCCCACGCCGTCCAGGAGGAGGCCCCACGCTCAAGCTCCACGGGACCCCCTGACACTCTGCGACTTGAATCTTAGAACTCGGCCCTCTAGGACACTGGTAATGTAGCTGGTCATACAAAAACGAGCAGTTTGCTTACTTTTAGCAGGCAAAACCTTTTTTCCCTTCATTTTTTTTTTTTTTTTTTTTTTTGAGGGGCACATGTCCCAGGGAATACTGGTTTCCATTTGTAAGACTGAACTAAGGTGGGTGATGGTGACATGTGCACTGTTCCTCCTCACAGCCGGCCCCACCCAGGCCACAGTCAGCTCAGCGAGGCCAGGGCCTTGACCTGGGGTTGGACCCGGGAAGGGGATTCTGGAACACCTAGTCCGGTGAGAGGAGTCAGCGCAGTCTCGGCCAAACAGGGGTGGCTTACTGCCTCCAGGCTGCATGGCAGGCCCTGCTCCCCCTCACGGACGGGTGACTTAGAGATGCAGAGCAGGACCGGACCTATCATCTCCCACTCTGTGGTCTCTCCTGTTTGCTTTCCTTCCAGCCATTTTTATCAGGGTGGACAGGGTGGTCAGCAGGACCCGGGGCCCTAACAGAGGCGTCTCTTGTGAAAGGGGGGAGAGGCTGGGAGAGAGAGGCTTCAGAGGCGCCCTCAACCTCCCACACGTTCTCTCTGCATGTCTCTGATGCGATGAAAAGGGGCCCAAAGAAGTTTTGGGTTGAGGAGTGGTCTCCATTGGAGCCTCATTGCCAGCCTAGGGGCGGTCCCCCCCCCCCCCCGGATGTCCGCTCCCCGCACAGGTCTCTGTTTCCTCTTGCGCGCTGATCTCCGCCCGTCCAGTGACGAGCCATCCTGTCCTGACCCCGGGACGCAGCTCCCTGCCCAGCCCGGAGCAGCCCCGCCCCGCCTAGCAGTGCTACTCACGCCAGCCTGGCCCCGCAGTTCTCTCCCTCGATGTCTCCGCCAGCCACGTTCTCCGTGTTGACAGACTCCGTCTCACTGGTGGGCATGCTCACTGCAAGAATCACAGGGCACAGAACAAGGCGTGAGGGCGGAGGGGAAGGCGAGGAGAGAGCCTTAGTTCACAGCATGCCCAGTCCCAGGAGGGGTGCCGCTGGGGGAGGGGGTGCTGCTGGGAGCAGGTGGAGGCCCTGGCACTGCCCCGGCCGGATTTGGGGTTTCTGTGAGGGAGGGCCATGCCTGCTGCTTGTCTTGGGTAAGCTGTGCTGCCCAGGATGCTCTAAATAGTGAGAGTTGGATGGAAAGCTGGTGATCAGATCATCCACCTTACAGGACACATTATGAGATGCTCACTACTGAGCCTCGCTTTGCCCCCAGCTCTGCACCCGCCGAGAAGCCATGCAAGCCTGCCACGTGCATCTGCTACTCGCCAAAAACAGGGAGCTGTCCTGAAAATGTTCCTTCCCTTATTTTTTCCACCCACCCATTCCAAGGGGCTCCGTTCCCAAACTGAGGGTCCAGCTTGTTTGCAGAAAGGGCATTGGTGCCACCTGCATGAACTCCTCGATGGAGGCACAGGAGGCCCCCTGCCTGTGGGGCACACTGGGTGTGGGGTCTCTAGGTCTAGGACAGTACCCAACGCCGAGAGCCGGAGCCAAATCTGCACTAGGATTCAAACTCACACGGCTGACCTCCGGAAGGAGGAGGACACCAAACTACGTTCACTGTGACCTGAAGACAGGCTACAGGTCTGCAGTCTCCCCTCCCAGCAGCCTTGACAGTCCCGCCTGGACAGAGGGATCTGGATATAAACCACCTACTGCCACTAGTGCCAACCAGTGGCCCACCTGCCGTCTCTCCCCGAGGGCTGAGCGTTCAGACCGGCAGGAGCTTCCTCCTTGGAACCCATGTGATGGCTTAGAAGAAGCCATTGCTTCTATTATTATTTTTGATTCCAAATAAAAATTTAACTCAAGAGAGCTCTTTGCTACCTTCCATTCTTTTCTGACATATTGGTGAGTTCCTTATTTGTGCCAACCCTGTTCACAGCATGGGCCTGGTTCAGCTCTCCGTACAGAACACCCCTCCTGTGTGGGGAGAAAACCACCAGCCCTGCAGGAGAACCTGCAGTTCGTGAGGGGGTGGCATCGGGCGATGTGGCCCCGCGTGACCAGTCGCCACGGAGCCACCACGGCCTAGGTAAAGCCTTCGACTGGGTACATGGATAACGCTGCTGAAGGCGGATTTCCCCATTTCTTCTCTTGTGGATGAACAGAAGCCGGGCAGGTGAGAACAGACTCATCTCAAGAATACTGAAGACACAGAGAGAAAGCCCATGGCTTACCTACCGTGTGCTTGGCTGTCATGCGTGAGCGGCCTCTCCACCTGAGGGCTCAGTGTCGACAAGGTTGGGTAACAAGAAATCTAAATGCCATTTTAAAGGCATTTGGAGCTGGATAGGACTTCAGACATTATCCAGCTCTGCCTTGTCCCCATTCACCTCTCAGGACAGGAAAGTGAGCTCTAAGGAAGGGACCGATGCCCAAGGTCACGCAGTGTCTGGGGTAGGACTTGGACTACAGCCCAAGCGCCAGGACCCCTGCAGCACGCTCTTTAGATTGTCCCCTTGGTGACCAACTCCCTCCCTGCACTCTAGGACATCGTCGCGTCCGGCTGTGGGGCCATCCTCAGAGCACGGTGAATAACCTCAGGGCGGTGATGGACTTCCCGGCATGGACGCTCACTTCGCAGCCCGAGGTCGGAGGGAGCTGGTGAGCAAGACCAGACCTTAGGGATGGTTCTAGCACTGGGAGCTGGGAAGAGGAGACTTTCGGAACTCCTTAGTCCACCCACGTTCATGAAGAAGTAATGTAACTGAAGAGCCTTGTCTTTCAGTCTCTCTCTCCAGCCACTTCCGACTGGAGGTCCCTTGAACTCTTCCGGCATCGTTACTGGAAGAGCTGAGCTGTGTGCAGAGAGTGGTCTGACCTGTGATGCCCCTCAGGAGGGAAGCAGTGTGCTGGGGGTGCTGGGGGTGGAGAGACACCCAAATGAGGGGCAGGCAGGCCTGGGCATTAGGAAGAGCCATGCTATCCTCTAAATCAAGGCACAGCCTCTACCAGTACCAGTTGGCATTTACAGTGACTTTAATCTTGGCAGGGTGCCATCTGGGACTAGCTGCCGACTGCTACATTCGCTGACTTTGTGCAAAGAGACGACAAGGCGGTGACTGTGAGTGAGACAGGGTACCATCCCCTCGCAGGACATACAACACACACAGACACACACACAGACACACACAAAGCCAGGGTGGCACAAGCCATCAAGAACAACGCCCCCCCCCCCCACACACACACACACGTCCACGCACACGGAGCACAGGGGAACGTTACCATGGGTTTCTGTGGAGTGACTAAACCAAGCAAGCTTCCCTCTCTTCTGCTCGAGCCAGCCTGCTGGGGCTCCTTCCACAGACAAGGTGGCCATTTGCAAGAACCGGGAACAAGACATCACAGAGAGCATGCAGTCAGCCACGGGCAAAAGAAAGAAACAGAGAACTCAGCTTTCACGTAGGACCTCCATTTTCATCTCCAAAAATAAACAAAACATTGTAAAAAACAATGAACCAAAACCAAAAACAAATAAGAAAACATGATAAGACAGAACCAAAACCCCGAATCACATGAACTGATGACACAGAACACGGAATGGACATCGGGAGGAGGGGCTACTCCAGCAGCGGCCTCTGTCCCCACTGGTGGGTCTGGTTAGTGGTCTGAGGAGAGGGCTCCCAGGAGGGGCCACCATGCACCCCCGCTGCCCTCCCTGGGAGGTGCCCTTTTACGGGCTCCAGTGGGGTAACAGCTAAAACCAAACTACAGCACTGGTGTCCTCCTTCATCCCCACCAGCAGCAGGTGCCTGGACCTCTCCCCACCTGCACTGGGCTCAAGGGCTCCCTCACCACGTCCGTGCAGGTGGAAAGCATGTGTCTACTTGTCCCTTTGTTCAGCTCAATCATTCGATTCCACCAGTGAAGACCTACCCAGGCTGAGGGCTGATCACACCCCAAACATATACGTAACTGTTTCTAACATATTTAAACAGGCAAAGAAGTTGCTCAATTGCTTGTCGATGGTGGTCTTTTGAGGAGGTGTGTATATAAGACAGAATTTGTAAGCTTCTCTCGGGCCTGGGCTGCAGCTGAAGGGGGGTGCCGGCGAGAGGGAAGACTCTGCTGGTGCCAAGGGGAGCGGGGAGTTCTGTGCTCTGCAATGGACTCTGGGTTCTGGATATCAAATGCTTCTGCTAATGTCCGAGAAAGAGAGCTCCCCCACTCCCTTCGACAGCACTGGCACCGAGCGTGCCTCTGCCGGGCCCTCTGGAGGGTGCGGGCATGGGTGGTGAGTCAGGTCTAGTCACCGATGACTACTGAGGCGGGAAATCCCACCACTCATGACCAAGCAGTGCCCTGACAGGGATGGACAGGTGGCCCCATCAGTTCCACGGAAGGACATGAAGGAAAGGCCAGTCCGAACTTTAGGTGCTTCTTTATCTCATCCGTTCCCCCGGAGCCTAGAGGATGCTCTGCGAACACCCTGGGACGCTGCTTGCTGGTGAGAATTCTGAAGACCGGCTCCTGATAGAAAGGGGTCAGCTTATTTTTAACCCATGGAAAGGTCCATTTCCCAAACGCACGTCTTTAAAAGACAACACTTAGAAGAAGCAGAAACTTTACATGCAGTAGCATTTTTTTTTTTTTTCACTTCTGAAAAGTCCTTTTTGTAGAAAGTGCTGAGAGTTAGGAGCGAACATGAATGACTTGGCTGAGCTCTGCCTTCTGGGGAACACGCTGTGTCTCACTCCAGAATGCTGACTGTCCCTCCAGTGCACGTCTCACGGGGAGTCTTCGTCCAGAGGGGTGGACATGAGGCTGCCAGTCCTCGACTCTGTTCACACAGTTGTCTGGGGGGATGGAAACCCTGGCCAATGATGACAAGACAAGAACACTGTGACCTGTTATAAGGAAATATCACCCAACGTTTGGCCTTGGCATCAACATGGTCCCATCTTGTTCCCCTTCAGATAACTTTAAACACAAGAAAAAGGCCTTGATAAAATCACTGAATGTGATCAGCGCGGGTGAAGTTGGCAGCCACCTGTGTGGAAAGGGATTTGAAGAGCATTTAAATCATCTCCCTGAGAGTGGACAGTCCCAACTAGAAATGCTCTGTTGGGTGAAGTTATATCTGAAGGCTCCTTGCTGGAATGAACCTATCTCACCCGGAAGGAATAGTACGTTAACGTATCAGGGCCTATGCTAGTCTGTCCCATAAGCACAGGAGCAGACATGATGGGCGAAGAACTAGCTGTGATCCTATTGCTAAGGGATGAGGCAGCGGGATCACAGTTGCTTCTTGAAGGGCCTTGCTACCCTAGAGAGATGGACTTGGATTCCGTCTTGGGAACTGAGTTCCCGAACAGTTGGAAGTTGAGAATTGTAAGTACTGGATACTAATTCTGGGGAAGAGATGGACAGCTTGACTCTTCCTTTGGACACTCAGATGATGGACTGGTTGGAGGTCAAGGCAGAAAGATGGCAAAGAACCCAGGTGCCTGAGGGGACGTCTCCTCCAAAGGTAGCCCACTGGACGCCTGAGAAATGAAGCCTGCGTCTGCTCATCGGCAGACCATGTGCTAAAAATACAGCCTCGGGGGATGAGAGGTGCTTCACTGCATGGGTTTAGGGAGAAGAATGCTGAGGAAGACCACTAGAGAGAAAGCTAGTGTTCTGACTTTCTAGCTTCATTGTTACAGGTGCCACGAATCAAATTTGGGTCTCCAGGCTCTCCTGTCCCTTGGCTTCTGCTGAGAAGATTCCAAAAGAAAATGAGATGTTTCACGAGAGAGTAATTAACAGCTGCCGTTGTGGGTGTGAATACATAATCACGAATTGAGTAATATCACCAACGGCTACAATGAGTGGTGTAGGCTCCATCTCGCCAACAACCGACTACACCGAGGATTAATGTCGTCCTCTCCCCAAACATCTACTC